AAACACTCACTGAACTCCCTAGGGATCTAACAGTGTCTTGCTTCAGCGTTCCCTTGCTAATAGAGATTGAAATACGCTCAAGAGGAAGAAGATATTTGCATGGGGCATGTAACAATGATAGCAATCCACCCTTCTCGCCTAAGAGTTAAGATCTACACTAAAACCCTGGCTATGCTGAGACTCCATGATACAGAAGCAAGTTGGTTTAGATTAGCGAATACCAAAGAGGAAAAACACATAGGTTACCTTCCAAGGAAATTTGGTAGAGAGCACTCTGGAAAGAATGTGCATACTCAATTACAAGTCTGTTTAAAACATTTAATTTTAGGTTGAATAAGAGTACACAAGGTCCTAAAATGTTTTAGGCCCCAAAAATTATTCCCCGAGCCTAGAAGTCAGCATGAATTAAAATCATTTCCCATACTTGAACGTCTGTCTCATCAGTTCTATTCCCACAGCTGTTCCCCAGACACCACAGGTGGTGAAAACTAAACTTATCTGTTGCACAACAGGAAGGACTTTATTATTATTATTTACTCATAACAGTGTTTTGTTTCATCAGCACCTTCAATAAATGCTCTGAACATCTTGTTCCCATCACATGTGTGAATGTAGGAAGAGCAATTTTTATTAGACGGGAAAAAATACGGGAACAATAGAAGTACGTAAAATAAGACCTTTTCTCTGAGGAAAGTAGCAACCACCTCAGAACAACCTTAGCATCATGTGAGAAGTGAATGAGAAATAAAGTTGGTTAAAACGTCTCACACAGTCTTAAATGTGGCGGTGAGGTTATTGGCAATAGTGCTTAGGTACCATGGTGATAGTCCAAGAAATTATTATAATTAACAAACGTATGTCACAAGTACCAACCACGTTTACAGTTAAATGCATGGCTAAAAATATGCGCAAATAAGAGAGCCCTGATATCCATATTTACAATGACGGCAAAGCCTGCATTAGACTGAGGAAAAATAATCTTCTATTTACTTGCACTCTACATTCTCAAAAGTCTGTCTCAAATTATAGGAAAGAACCATAAACTGTATATTGACAGATAAAGAAGAAACTACATAAACATATGCTGGATTTAGTTTACTCTTTTGGTAAATTAATATATTTAGACATCACAAACACCTTCCAAACTTTACTCTCTTTACAAAGCTAAGAATAGAACCTCCAGTAAAATTTACTATATTCCTCAATCCCTGCAACATCAAAGCAAAGAAAACAGATGTGCATTGTACTTGTGACTTTTTACAGTATATAAGGAACACACATTAAAGTGAACATACAGTCATCATATGAATGCTTGAGAAGGGCATATATTGATTGGAAATATGTGATTACACTAATGAGTATTTAAAAACATTACATTAATTCATATTTTAAAGTTTTTAAAAGGCATATATGGAAACTGGCTAATCATAATGTAAACTACAAATCCACATTGCAAGATTTTCCTGTTGTTACTTTACTGAAGCCCAGAATAGTGATGTTCTTATAGTGTTCACCCTCTCCCTTTTCCCTTCCAAAGAAGAGAAAGAGCAATCACTGTAAGCATCTGTGACTCCTGGGGTAGAGTAGCATAAGGGTGCAACCTACTTGGCTTGTAGGCAGCATGTCGTCACTGTGGGTACGTGTACACTAGAGCTGGAGGTGTAATTTCCAACTTGGGTAGGCATACCTGTGCTCTGATCCATCTAGTGCACTAAAATAGCAGTGTAACTGTGGCTGCATGGCTAACAGTTGTGCCTCCAGTGTGCCTAAGATTTCAGATAGGATTGTACTCGAGGTAGCTAGCACATCCCACCGCCTGTGCAGCTGCGGCTACACTGCCACTTTGAGAGTGCTAGCTTGTATGTTTACTTGAGCTGGAAATTACACCTTCCAGCTCCAGTGTACAAACACCACCACACTGACTCACTGGTTCTCAAACCTCATTAAGCTGCACTCCCGCCCCACAGTCAGTGTGGACTGGCAAGATTCTAATCTATATCCATCTATAAAATAGCCCTTTTAAGAGAGTTTCTTACCTTGGAAAATAAAATCATTTTCAAAAGATTTAAAATATTATCTTTCTCCCTTGTCTTTCCTTTTGTCCAATCCAGTAATAATTAATAAATAACAATGATACAGCTCTGTAAAAATCAGCAAAAAAAAAATAGGCGAAGCATAATTTGTATTTAAAAAATAATGTAAGAAGAAAATTAGTCTTATCCATTTCTCATAGATTTTAAATACTGTAAGGCAGTCAGGGAGCTTTTCTATTCAGAACAAACTATAACTTAATGGGCCTGTGTTCCCTCTTCGTTATCTGTTGGCAAAATCAAGAGCTTCTAGGCATTTTCACTGGACAAGCAGTAGCAGCAAATTCACAAACTAGTGTTTTGAAGTTAAAGTAAGAGCTTCCTGAAGTAGCAGTCCAACTTACACAGGATAAAAGAAGAAAAGCTAATAGTTAACAGCAACCCTTGCATTTAATTTATATTAAGCTGAAAACCCTTTCCCTCACTAAGAGGGAAATCCTTGTCACCCAATTCCAATCTCAGCTAAATGGGATCTGTATATGTGACTTTCACGGAGATATAAAGGGAACAGAATTCTTCCTCCCAACCACCAGAACATCTACAACGCTGCTCCAGGGTTTCTACTACAGGTATTTACATAGTATTTTGTTCAGTGGAGCCATTTATTTTGCACTTTGCCGGAAATGGCAAAACTGAGGGAAGCTAGGGATGGTAAAAGGGCTTTGTCACCTTCCATCCTTATTGCCTGTAGGTGAAATTTTGTTTAAGTTCAGTAAATTTTCAACCTTTTGGCTAATTTCTAAATAAAAATACGTTTCCTTTCATTGGTTCCTGTCTTCAGCAGTATATCTCCTCCTCCCTCTGCTGGCTCTGCAGCAGCTGATAACTAAAATAAACTATTCCCAAAAAAGTGGATGTACAAACAGATCCGTGCATGGACCAGAACTACATACTGTGACATTAAAACAGAACCAGCAGATTAAATTTAAAATCCTCCAGTCCACATGATAGAGGTCTGCTTTTGCAGCAGAAGTTGTAGCTGAAGAATGCAGTATTGCTAGTAACAGAAGTCCTGCGCAGCTATTAATATTACAGTTTGGTAGCTGCCTGTTGGGTTTGATAGCCAGCTGCTGGAGAAGGCTAATTTCAAGGATGAGTTCTGCCTACTGTCATTTAGTAGGTTTCAGAGTGGTAGCCATGTTAGTCTATCAGCAAAAACAACGAGGAGTCCTTGTGGCATCTTAGAGACTCCTCGTTTTTGTCATTTAGTAGTTAGCATGTTTGTGTAGTACTGCCCTCTTCTGAATGAAATGTCTTGCTCAAGTGTGATTATGTTGCTCTAGAGCAGGGGTTCTCAACCTTTTTCATTCTGAGCCCCCCCCCCCCTCCCAAACATGCTATTAAAACTCCACGGCCCACCTGTGCACAACTGATTTTCTGCTTATAAAAGCCAGGGCCGGTGTTAAGGGCAAGCAGTGCAATTGCCTGTGACCCCCAAAAAGCTAAGTTGCTCAGGCTTTGGCCTCAGCCCCCAGTGGTGGGGCTCAGAGCCCCAGGCTTCAGCTCCATGCAGCGGGGCTTCAGCTTTCTGCCTGGGCCCCAGTGAGTCTAACACTGCCCTGCTTGGCAGCCCCCCTGAAACCTGTTTGAGGGCCACCAGAGGGCCCAGGACCCCTGGTTGAGAACCACTGTTCTATAGGATATCTGGTCAAAAATTGGGATTTCCATCCATGGGGAAATTCCAATATTTCCCCAAATCGGGGCAAAAACTTGAATACTAGAATTTTTGGCAGAACAGACAGTCCAACCAGAGGGGAAACCATGGTGCATAATGGGAGTCCAGCCAACGAGTCTGGCGCATAGAGGGAAATGGGGGCACGAGGCACCCAAACTTCAACTTCTAGGAAGCATTGTGGCAGTTCAGGTGACCATAAAATAACCTCGAACTGACCCAAAAGGAAATGTTTCTCTTCAAACATTCAGATTTGTCAGATTCAACTCAGGTTGACCTGATGCCAAATGAAATATTTAGTTTAAATTTTCTCAACAGAAAATTAATATTTTTGGCAAGAAGCAAAAAATTCCCACAGATAATTTTAATTAGAAATGACATTTTCAACTGAAATTTATTTGAGGAAAAATTCCTGACCTGCTCTACCCTAGCGGCTAACACACAAAGTGTATAAAAAAGCCTTAATGATAACAGCCATCAGTGGAACGTCTCTTGGACACAAGTGATAGAGGGTTGTGTTTTTTGGAGCCAAAGTCAAGCAAGCAAAGACTTCCTTGAGTAAGGACCACCACTTAGAAATGCTTCTTAGAGGAAAGCAGTTCAAACTTAGTCCATTCCAGTGTGTTTTACTCTGACAAGAGAACATGGCTGTGGACTGTTTTAAAGCGATTTGGGGGGGAGTTGCAGAGGTTTTTTTTTTTTTTTTTGCAGTAAGCTACAGATTTAAGTTTCTCAAAATGTAAAATGGGGTGTAATTATTATCCAGCTATAATCACCTCAGTATCTAAAGAGAAATTGTAATGTTTTATACTTGGAACAGTATAAAATGGGCTGAATTAGCAGCACTGATTACTAAATCTTTTCAAAGGAAATAACTAATGAAACCAGCAGTCCAGCAAACTCCTTCATAAACAAACACTATAACAGCAAAATAGACACAAGTGGCTCTACAGAAATATTACACACATCCTGTGAGCTTGATTTAAAAGAATTTTTTTTCCAGAAAACTGATACTTAAAGATGTTGCAGAATATTTTTATTTTCACTAAGCCTCATGTAACAAAAAAAGGAAATGCAGACATAATCCTTTCCTCCTCCTTTGTCTCTGTTTTCAAACATTTTCCCTTAAACAGAAACTGGATTAGAGAATTAGGGAAAAACACTGAAAGAGAATCAAATTATTCCAGAAGCTGGTTTTTACAAGAGACCAGTATATACCACAATGCAACTATTCTTACCTTGTCTATCATATCCGGTCGGTTTGTAGCTGCCAAAATTGTCACATCCTTTAACTGTTCTATCCCATCCATTTCCGTTAACAGCTGAGCCAAGACACGGTCTGCTACGTTCCCAGCACCTGAAGACCTGATTAACAAAAATGCCACAGCATTAGTTTTCCCTTCCCAGATAATTACCAAATGAGGAAAAAAAAAAAAAAAAAACTTTTCAACTTTATAGAATAGCTTTCTGATTTTTCACTTTCATCTTCAGTAGTTGAGGGAAAAAACAACATAAATCATGTAAACTAGTTAAGGCTATATTCCAGAATTAGCCCTTCAAAAGATTTCTCAGTATTCATAAAAACATCTGGGCTTGTCACTTACTACCTTGCCACGGCAGACTGGACAAGGTTTTCACACAATATAAATAGTCTGGTATAAATATTTCTAAGGTGGGAATAGCTGGATTCACATGACTTCCTAACTAAACAGACAATACCTCAGTTCCTACCACTATCCAGGTGATTACTTATGCCACCCCCTGCAGTACAATGTACAAGTACTTATGCATTTTGCAATGTTCCATTATATTTTCACTTCTTCAATCTCCATCAAATGAGACCAATTTGAGTGCTAGCCAGCTAACTCATAAAAGCATTTCCTGCCTTTATAATTCATCCATCTGTTTCTCCAGAAGAAGAGAAGAGAGACGAGAGAAGAGAAGAGTTGGGGGAAAGAAAGGTACAAGTGTCAAGTTTTGAAATCCCAAAAACATTAAACCCCAAAACAGAGGCATAAAATATTTTATGCATTTGAAGTAGTTTGGAAACGGATTCTAGTCACACTAAAGTCAATGGCAAAACTCTTAAATACACATGAAAGAAATGTTAAGAAAAAAGTAATTTGGTATTTTCTTTACAGCTTCTAATTTTTTTAAGCTAACTACAATACACTTGGGTTAACTCACAGTACAATCAGCCAACTGCCTTCTGCCCAAGTAAATGTATGTATATAGAAGAGAGAGATGTTGCATAACACAAAGTAAAGGAACAAACTGTGTATGGTTACTGAAATCCCATTTACAAAACCTTTCTGAAATGTTATGCTTTGGTCTGAAGACATCATCAATACTAGGTAAAATTATTAATTTTAAAAACGTTATAAGAACTAGGGGCATGTTGTTTTTAATCAAAAATACTAAGACGTAAAACCTAGGAAATATTAGGGCCATATATACATACGTATTGTGTGTGTGAGAGTGAGAGTGTGAGTGTGAGAGAGAAGAAGCTTAATATCAAAGCCAATAGATCATCTTTGCATATAATGAAAATATAATCCAATGAGATATATAAGAGGTAAACTAAACAAGTGCCAGTTCTCTCCTGAAAGAAAAGAAATGGAAAAGTCAGCATCTATAACAGGATCTGAATCAAAATCAGAATAAAGGTTCAGTTATTATTAAAATGTGTTTTTTAAAAACCATAATACTTCTGAATGGAAGCAAAGCTGTGCCTGCAAATTCACAGGCTTGGGACCAGACGCTGAACTCCGAGATGGGTGAAATTTTCTATTGGGCTAAGCCAAAATACTGGGTCTCCTGAAGGCAAAGACAAATCAGCAGCTTATTCCAAAAGCTCCCTCTGCTGAACAACTGCTGCAAATAGAGTTGAGAAGTTTAAACAGGTGGGGGGAGGAAAGGGCGGGGAGTAAAGCTAAACAGCACATACATGCACACACACAAATAAATAATATTTGCTGGCCATATTGTAATTTAACAAGAAAAAAATCATACCAGATTTTAAGATACAATAAAAAACTTAATTTCTGCATGTCCTTATTTTTGCAACCTTATGTTGCATGCGTACTAATGCAACACCACTGCTGATGCAATATACATTGAGAATAGTGCTTTATAAATGCTTTAGAGTCAGAGATCATAACTCACAGAATAGTTATTGCTATTTCTATAATTTTCAAGGGGAAAATAATAGATTTTTAACTTATTGTTGATATTCAGAATCTGAAAGACATCTCCTTCCTGGTTTAATAAATGTTGCCTAACGCAATAATGGGTGGGCCAAGGGGATTGCTACAAAATATTAGAGAAGGGACTTTCTTTGTTAGTCAGCTTTTTTGTTGTGCTGCAGCAGTGTTAAAAATTCCCCAGTGAAATGAGTCCATTTCTAACATACGCAGAGGTCACAGCCCTATCAATTTAAAAGGAGTGGAATGTGATAAAATATTATAGTTGTTTGCAGAAGGTTAGTAAATACTTTTCAAAGGAAACAGATCCTTAAAATAAATTAGAGTCAACTTTTGTAAAGTAAGCTAATCTTAATAGGTAATAAAGCCACCCCATCCTGAAAAGACTTATACATGGACTTAACATCTCACCCTTGGGACTACTCAGAGACATACAATTAGGCATGAAAGTCTCTAAGATCAGGGCCTAAATGAAAATTTCACATGAAAATGGTCTGAAACCAGAAGTCACCAGGGGAGGGGGCAAATTTTTTGGGTTTAAGAAATAGCAGGAATACGTGTTTATTGGGGGGTAGGGGGCATTGTATCCCTCCTGATATGAACATCTATGTTGCAAGTTTCAGTACGGAGACAATGTTCATCCCAAGTATAAAAATCATGGACAGGGCGGATTTGGAAAGTAACTGAACAGCATCTAAATTAATCTCATTGATGGCAAAATCCCCAAATGTTTTCAAAGAGTGAAAAGAAAAGTTAAATTACAAACTATATGCTATGTGTACATAAGGCTTAAGAACATACTCTCCTCTCCCCACTCCCACAATACTGTACACTAATCCAACAGCATGAACTCCTACATCCATGCAGAGACCCACTGAAGTCAATGGCATTTGGTACCAGACCAACAGCCCAAGATAGCAAATCCCAATGAAGAAATGTGGTCTTTTTTATTATTTGGCATCAGATAGGAAATATGCTACAGGCAGAGGAAAAATATTTTATAGTAAAGACAGGTGGCTGAAAAAAAATTAATAAAATGTCTGAAAATAAAATGCCTGATACACAGACAACTGCCTTGAATTTGCATGTATTTACTCATTGAACTAGAACTAGATGGTCATATTAAGCACCATATTTAGCCTGTATTCTACAGTAAATAAACCCTTTTGACTTAACAGGATATCCTATAAAAATGCAGACAGGCACACATTTATAGTTAGAGATTTCTTCACCAGCTGCTCCAGAACTGCGTCATCACCATGTGCTCCAAGGAGCTCCAGTGCTGCATAAACCGTTAATCTGAAGGGTGACATACAAGTATGCATTTTTCCATTTTCCCATGATTTCCCAGCAAGGGTTTCAAATTAATGCAGGCAATGCTCATTAAGGCTGCCTGCACTTCTGATACATACGGCAGTCAGAAAAAGAATTATGATTAGCCCTCCAATCCTACTTACACATTGCCAAAACCAATGGCCAGTCAAGCAGACTCCCCTCCCCTCCCCCCCCACACACACATCTGACTTCCACACATTGATTTCATCATCACAACTACACAGAAACAGTCCTCAAAAGGCACGTACTGGTACAGACTCATTTCCTGTCAACAAACTGATTGAGAATGAAGGCAGTCAAAATTAAGCGTTTGAGAGAGAGTGCACGCGTGCCTTACCCTCACCACAAATTCCCAGAACTCCAAACTAAAAGAGGGGGTAAGAGAAAACTGGCAGCTTCATTACTACCTGAGAATTTTAAATCATTTGTAATGTTGGGAAAATAAAATGACACAGGTTTTTTTTAAATATGAAATAGGATTAATGTTTGCACAGTGCTCTGAAAAATGTAAAGCAGTAGCTAAGTACTAAGCATTACTATCAGTTTGCGAGTCATTCTTTCTGTGTATGGATTAATTTTTTAGTCAAATCTTCTTTAACCCACTTTCTACACATTTACAATAATCTCTTACAGCATAGCACTTTTTTTTTTTTAAATAACTTGGAGCCAGCCTTACTTACTGCCACCCTTACTCCCACTGAAGTGTAAATAAGTCTGCAGGCAGCCCGTTGGTTTCAGAGAGCATGAGTATGCAGGTCTTTACTCATAACATAAATTCCCTGCATTCCAAAGTATGCCAGGTGAAACTATTTATATATTAATGGCACTATTTAGTGTAAGACAGACAGACTCTAGGCTTCCATAGTAGTGAAAGATCCATTTCCCATGTACATTCTGAAGTGAAAGATTCCTAGAATACAGGTGTATTTTATATTGCATCAAGGTCTTAAAATTAACCACTGCTATCTGATTGACAACCAAAGCAGCATATATGCTGCTCAACATATGGGATTCTGTGACAGGGTGCACTGGCACCATGACAAACAAGGGGTTAACCTCAGTTCACCTTCCTCCTCCCAGCTCCTGGAGCCTGATCCAATGCCCATTTAAATTAGTGGGAGTCTGATTTCAATGAGTGTTCCATCTGGCCATCTTTGCACAGATGCCCGAAGAAAGAGCTGTAAGAGTGGCTGCTTGGGTGAAGGTGGGAAGGAAAGTAATGCATTTGGGAAGGTATGGCTCCATACCCAGCATCAGATAAATGAGTTGAACCTCAAGCTGAGGAGTTTACTTTATGTGATAGGGTATGTGCAGGTGATGCCCAAAACCATGGTTTAAAATAAATTTAACATCCCTGTTATATTTATAAGCATTACCTTTGGAGAAAAAGAAGGTTGCCGACACCAACATTTCCCCTCCCCCCGCCCCGCACTGCCAAGACATTGCAGGCTGTACTTGTTTGGCACATCTAGCCCGTTGTACAGCACCATGTACTTTTGGCGTTATACTGTGTAAGTGATATGCTTATTATTTATCTCCCTCTCAAATAAATAGACATTCACTTCCAAGGCTAAATAACTAGTTTTAAAAAAGGAAGCCATTTTTGAGATATCATCTGCTATTTATTTTTTCACTTCCTAAACTTAAAAAGTTGAACAGATTTTTTAAAATTTAAAAAGAAATATCCCCCCAAAATGAGATGTTAAAGATTCAGCTCACGAATGAAATTTGTAAACAAGCATTCATAATGAAAACACAGACAGACCCTTAGTCCTAGAGGTGTTTGCAGAATTGATGTAAAAATGAGTAGTTTTGCAGAACACAGCA